CTTCCTCTCTGTCTCTCCTCCTCTCTGTATATCTGACTTTGTAATAAAAAAATAAATAAATCTTAAAAAAGAAAAAGAGAGGAAGGAAGGAAGGAATGGGGAGGGAAGGGCAAGAAGCAGGAGGGCCTCAGGGGCCTGTGCTACTGCGGGGCTACCTTAAGGGTCTAACCATCCCTGACTTTGTTGCTGAACTGGTGAAACTCGTCGTTCTCCTGGTCATGCCTGAACAGTCCGGCCAGGGATCTGCACATTCTTACCAGGCAGGATGCGGAGTTCTCGGCCAGGTCACAGTCTCCTGCCTGGGCAGTCACGGCACCTAGGATGGAGCCAGCCAGCCTCGGGTCAGGCTGCTTCCCCGGCGAGGAGACGTCCCACACTGGATGGGAAGTGGAACTGCCGGGATAGGAAGCAGCTCCCATTTGAGATTCTGGCATATGCAAGGTGAGCATTTAGTAAATGAGCCATCATGCAAGGCCCAGAGAGAGACAGAGAGAGAGAGAGAGAGAGATCTTCCATCCACTGGTTCACGCCCCAAATGGCTGCAACCAATCCGAAGCCAGGAGCTTCTCCTGAGCCCCCCAGGCTTTCCCAAGGGCATCACGAAGGGTAACTAGCCCTAAAATGCACCAAGAAGAAGGAATCTGCCTGTGAAGAAACAGCAGTGGCTTACATCAGGCTTCCGGTTCTTAAAGTTTAGAGTTCCCAGTGAGAGTCAAACAGACTTTTAGACACGGGACAGTTCAGGAAGAGTGCCCCTCTCCACTCATCTCAGTAAGTAAACAGATAGATAAAAAAATAATACATGTATTTATTTAAAGGGCAGAATGGTGGGCCTGGCATGATGGCTTAGCAGCTGGGGTCCTCGCTTTGAACGAGCCAGGATCCCATATGGGTGCTGGTTCTAATCCCGGCAGCTCCACTTCCCATCCAGCTCCCTGCCCTGTGGCCTGGGAAAGCAGTCTTGGAACCCTGCACCTGCATGGGAGACCTGGAGGAAGTTCCTGGCTCCTAGCTTTGGATCGGCGCAGCTCTGGCTGTTGCAGCCACTTGGGGAGTGAATTATCAGACGGAAGGTCTTCCTCTGTCTCTCCTCCTCTCTGTATATCTGACTTTGCAATAAAAATAAATAAATCTTTAAAAAAAAAAAAAGGCAGAGTGGCACAGAGCAAGAGGGGAGTGCTGGGTCAGGAGCCCAGAGTTCCACCGGAGACCCTCACGTGGACGGCAGGAAGCCAAGGCCTTGGGCAGTCCACTGTGCAGCAGGCAGCTGCATGGGAAGCGCAGTAGCCAGGAAAAGCCAGGCCTTGCGTCCCGGGCTGTAGCTTACCCTGCTGCACTGCAGAGGACACACAAACCACCCTGGACCTCCGGTGGCTCCACCTCAGGCTGGCACAGAGGCAACGCGTGTTCAGTGGACGCTGCGCCTGAGGGGCTGGCCCTGACCTTCACCGGGCTAGCGCTGGGCAGCTTCCCCATCCTCTGCCAGGGTGCTGTGCTGCTGGGCCGCTGCACGTGGTGGGCCGGGGGCGGCCCCTGCAGGTCTGACTCCTGACACCACTGTGATGGGCTTGTCAGGAAGAGAAGCCAGCCTAGACAAGGAGCATCTGTTCACCGAGGCAGGTGTTGAAGGCAAGACTCAGAGAGCAGAGAGATCAAAGGAAACAGCTGTCTTTTCGCCACCACCTTTTTAAAAAAGATTGTCTTTCATTTAGCTGAAGGGCTGAGTTAAGGGTGGAAGAAGGAGAAATAGGGACACAAAGAGAGCGAGAATCTTCCACTGGTTCACTCCCCAAACGGCTACACAGGTCAGGGCTGGGCCAGGCCAAAGCCAGGAGCTTCTTCTGGGTCTCCCACGCAGGTGCAGGCTCTCAGGTGCTCGAGTCAGCCTCTGCTGCTTTTCTAGGTCATCAGCAGGGAGCTGGAGGGGAAGCAGAGCAGCTGGGACTCAAACCGGTGCCCATGTGGGTTGCTGGAGGCTTAGCTTTCCAAACCCTACCACCTCCTCTACCCCCCATTTCTTTTTAGATTTTATTTTATTTTTTTTTTTATTGGAAAGGCGGATATACAGAGAGGAGAGACAGAGAGGAAGATCTTCCATCCGATGATTCACTTCCCAAATGAGCGCAAACGCTGGAGCTGAACCAATCTGAAGCCAGGAACCAGGAACCTCTCTTCTGGGTCTCCCCCCCCGGGTGCAGGGTCCTAAGGCTTTGGGTCGTTCTCAACTGCCCTCCCAGGCCACAAGCAGGGAGCTGGATGGGAAGTGGAGCTGCCGGGATTAGAACTAGCACCCAAATGGGATCCTGGCGTGTGCAAGGCGAGGACTTTAACCAGTATGCTATCATGCCGGGTCCCTCTACCCCTCTTTTTAAAAGCTAATAGGAACCTAAACCAAGATCCCCAATGATTTCTGTGGATTTTCCCGTCTGCCTTCACGGAGGGTGATGCTGAGAGCAGGCTAGCTACAGTCGTCCCCACAGGACACCAAGAGAATTCTGATCCAGACTCCAGCAGATCAGCTGAGACGCAGCCTCCAGCTGGCCCTCCCCTGACTTCACACAGGGCTCTCCCTGGAGTCCGACTCCCGCCTGACTGAGCTGGGAGTTAGGGTTAGTCACGGAAGGCAGCCGCGCGCAGTGCACATAGGTTAATGGGTCTGCTGTGTGGACTCTGTCTGCAGCCAGGGGCCTCGGCCACTCCCGGCTGCTTCATCACCCCTCAGCCTCAGGTGCACCTTTCCACCTTTCCTGTAAGATGCTGGGTCTGGAGCTCTACAAACTACATTTCCCAGAATGCTTATCAACTGCTTCCTCCCAGGGTCCAAGGAGATTGGAAGGGGCCTCTTTTTTGTTTTTTTAGTTCTTCAGTGTGGCGGCAGCCGCAGCCTGCTGGCCCAGCTTTCTGGACACACCACACCAACCCTGCTCAAGCACCTTGGAGGAAGCCCCTGGACTGTGGCACCAGCCCCCTCTCCATGGGCCGCCCCTGGACTCCTTGAAGGCTGTGGATGCTGATAATCTCTGCAGGCCCAAGCTGCCCACCTGGTGTAGCAGCTCCCCTGATCCCTCGGAAGTACCTGCTTCCTCCCTTCCTCCGTGGCATTCCTGGGCTGCCTTAGCAACCAGAGTTGTTTACATTGTCTTGTCAGCCAGAACCATTCCTCCATCCAGGCTCCTCCATAAGGTGTTCTGATTGGAGTTCTGAACCAATGCCGTTGTCTTCGAGGTTCAAACTAGATCCTGTCGAGATATGACAAGTTCATTTATTTTGGTGCAAAAAAATATTCTGAAATCCACCCAAACCTTTCTTGGGTTTACGACACAAATGACACAAGCAGGGCGGAGTCCTAACTGGCCACGTCACAGGACGTGACTTTATCATGCTGTCTTTTTGGGGTAGTGTGCGGGACCCTCATCTACCCTATGTAGTGCCGTAACAATGGCAACTTTTGGGAGTGGGTGTTGGGCCCAGTGGTCAAGATGCACGGACCCACCCCACACTGGACCGCATGTATGCGTGCCCCTGGGAGTCAGCAAGGATGGCTCGAGCGGTTGAGTTCCTGCGGCCGCTGTGCGCTGGCCCAAGCCTGGCCATCTTGCGCTTTGGCAGCGTGAACCATGAGATGAGAATTCAAAGGCTACTGGGAGACGGATTTCTCTAGAGATGAGGTGAAGATGATTATGCTGGGGTGAAACGGAACTGCAGGGAGGTGTCCCCAGGCAAGGACTCCAGGGGAACGCTGGGAGCGGGTTCAATGCAAGGCCCCGCCCAGGCCTGCCAACACCCCCGCCCTCAGCTCCCAGCCTCCCCAGCCGTGGCTCAAAGTCAACCACAGCCCGAAAGAACGTAAGCATTAAATACTAGTCTCACCCACCCCGCTGGATTTCCCCACTAGCCCGGAAGCTCTGTGGGGCTCTCTGTTGTACCCCCAGTGCCTGGAACAGCGTCCAGGATGGGACAGGTGTGAGTGGGACTATTAGCTGGAGCCCTCCACGGACCAGGCAGGTCAAACACTTGATGTCTACAAGGAGGCAGGAGCAAGGAACAGAACACGGGACTCAGCCATCTGAACAAATACGGATTTATTTGTTTTTTTTTTACATAAAAACCCAGCAGTCAGCAGCCCCTCAAGGACTCTCCTTCTCCCCAAATGCCCTCCCAGTCACAAGTGGCTCCTGTGGTTGCCCATGGGAGGCAGGGAGATGGACACACGGCCACGCGGGCTCCCGAACATTGAGAAATCAAAGGCAAGCTGAGCCCCTCCTCCGACATGTCGTTAGCCACAGCATTCATGTGGCTGCCTCGCTGGAAAGAAGCAGGGGGAAGTTGGGGAACTCCTAGCCCGCCAGCCACCCCAGAGGCACGCAAGGGGCCGCTTTAGGAGGATCCGCCTCAGTGGTGTGGAAGGATGAGTGGGTAATTGCTGCTGGGACAACTGGCTGCAGAAGTGGAGAAAATGGAATCCCTACCTCACACCACACACAAAAATGAATTCCAAGTTGATTTAAATGTGAAATTTGAAAGGCAAAACTTTTTAAACTTTTAGAAGAAAAATCTTTGGGAAAGATCAGCAAATGACCTTCCAACAGACTACACACCAAATAGCGTCACTGGGAGCAGACAGCCCCAGGACACAGGATGGTGTCTGTGAAGCAGGGTGGGTGCTACACAGGAACACCTGCACACATCAGCAGGGAAGAGCAAAAGGGGGCAAACAGGGAAACCACCACAGAGGACATGATAAAAAAGACAATTCAGACACAGCAGAGGCTAAGAGGGACAGAGAGGGAACTCAACAACCACCCACTGGGAGAGTGGAACTAGAACACTCCACGTTGGTGCCACCTGGGGAGCACACACAAACTACCCCGGTGAGCCAGTCCACTCCTGCGCAAGAACCACCCATGAACCCCATGCAACCCACACACCCACCCACAGGCCACTCCTAACAGGTACGCGAGAGCCATTCCCCACTCCAACAAGCCAGCACATGTACATACAAGCAACACCTACAGTCAGGCTCAGCAGCCCCTCTGGGGCCAGGGTGTCTCTTCCTCCCCGCCTCACGCGTGGACATACAAAACCTAACTCTGGTACGATAAAGTGGCTCGAATTTCAAATGCGCATGGCAAGAGCTTCACCATGACACAATACCCGTGGGTATAGGGTGTGCAGCCGGAGAGACACGCTTACAGAAGACCCTCTGGGGATGGGGAGTTGAGTTGGCAGTCAGAAGATGGGTTTCTGTTAGTCAAACAGCAAAGGAAAGAGGAGAGGGGAGGGGAGGGGAAAGAAACCAACCAACAGCTGTGGGCACTTCAGCCTGGACACTCCCCAAGAACCCCCAAGCAGACTGTAAAACTGCCCTTGCCCCACTCGGTAAAGCAAAGTGCAGGCTCCGTGGTGCTGCCCATGCAGCTGTAGCCACCTGGGGGCCAGGAGGCTGGCTATGTCCACACCCCAGGCCTCAGCTCTGCGCGTGTAGACGCGTCGGCTGCCGCCGTGATCGGCATGGCACCCTTGCAGGAAGCTGCTGCGCATCTAGGTGAGCTAGTACAGGGCGACCGTCGGAAGTGGCATCTACAGAGCAGGCCATGTCGGCTGTTTTGTCAAGGAAGACACTGTCCTGGGGAAAGCGTCCAGGAAGCACCTCGTGGCGGCAGATCCGCTGAGGGAAACGGCTCGGCCAGCCAGCGCCCATCGGGGACCACTGGGCTCTGACCTGTTCTGGGGTCAGCAGGAGCTCCAGAGTTGGACTGAAGGCAGAAACTCTTAGGCTTGCTCCATACATTTCCACATCACCTGCAGGGAGCCTGCTGGATGAAGCTCATTCCCCATGCCACTTGCCACAGGAAGGCAGGCTGCTTGGGCTTGTTAAGGCTCCCATGTCACTGACTCGGTCAGGTCCCCCAGGAGGGACAGAGGCTGGGACACACTGCTCTGGGTGGGAGCTGCAGATGAGGACGGCTGCTGGCTTCCTTCCACCCCACTGCCATCTCCCCAAGGGACTCCAAAAGGAATGCCATGACAACCTGTCCTCCTGACCCCAGCAGGACCTTCCGGATCACCCCTACAGCTTCCGGTAGCTGAACTGCCTGTTCTGGCCGGGAGACTCTGGGAACGGCCACAGAAGGAGGTTGGTCACATCACTTCATTGAGCAAACAGCTGCATGCTGGGTCTCTGGAAGAGCTGCTCCAGCCCAGCTGGTGGCCTGCCCTGGGGAGGAGCTCAGGGGACAGGAAGGTTCAGGTACCCCCCCCCCTCGGGCTCATCCACACCCTGCACACACCTCAGAACCATGTCACAGCCCTATGTCCTCAGCATATACCCCGTGGGTGGGGCCGGGAGCCCTTCGGTGTCCCAGGCGGCCGCCCCTGGCGCCAGAGCCCATGCCCTCTCCAGCTGCTGGATTGCCAAGCCCGGCTCCCTGGCTTGCTGCCTGGCTGGCCCTGCTGGGCAAGAAGTAAATGTATGAAAATACTGTAATCATTTCTTGGAAACGGTTAAGAAATAAGGTCGTCTTGTTTTGCTTTTACAATCCCAGTAAAAAAAAAAAAAAAAGTTCACATTAGTGCCGGCCCGCTCGGGCCCCTCCCTGCTGCGCACGGACTTCAGTAGAAGCGCTTGTTCCGCTCCTGCCGCTTCTGGAACACCACGGCCCCCACCACGGCGCACACGATGATGCCCAGCAGCGCGCACAGCAGCAGCAGGAAGACTCGCCAGCCTGTCAGAGGCCCGCTGCGGAAGTTCCCCGTGGGGTCGTCCACGTTGTCTGAGGGAGAAGGGGAGAGGAGTCAGAGTGGGTACGGCTGCCAGGCTGGGCTCCTGGACACAGCCCCGCCCAGGCCTGGGGCTGCCACCTGTCTCGGGGCACAAGCAGGGTTCCGGGCAGGGCTTCTCCGCACACAGTCCTGCCACGGGCGGCTCAATGGAGTCTCCTCGGCACAGCGGGAAGGACCAGGCGACCATCTTGCAGCCCTGCCTCCCTTTCTTTCGCTGAGGTCCAGCAGGCCAGCATAGGGGACTTGGCACAGCACCTGCTTCCTGCTCCCAGCCTCAGGAGAGGGTCAGAGATCAAGTGAACCCCATCCTAGCCGAGCTCTGACATCCACAGTGGCAGGGCAGGGGCTCAAAAGTGACAATCTTACTGGGACCAAGGACCCCAGAAACCAAGGTCTGGCGGTTCCCTGTGGCAGCCCTGGAGATGAGCCCCGTCTTGAGGTCCCCATCTTTAGAGATAAGCCTGCCCAGAGCTCCTCTGCTTAGAGCTGCGCGTGCCTGCAGCTGCACACCCTAGCCCCTGTCCCAGCCTCATCCTGCAGGGCACCAGCCTCACACAGGCAGGACCTTGGGGTACCACACGCACTGGGGGGCAGCTCTCCCCTTCCAGAGTCTGCCCATAACTCCACCTCCCGCCACCCACAGCCTTCAGGCTCTCAACACTAGGGGTTGGCTCAGGCTCAGCCCCCAACCTTGTCCCTTGACCATGTCCCCGCAGCCCACCCAGCAGGGCACTAGCCACAGGCAAACACCTCCCCACACCACCTCACCCTGCCGGCCTGCCGCCCCTCATTCACCACTGGCTCTGGCCTGCACAGCGGAAGCAGTGACCCGCTTCGGGCCACTCGCTGAAGCAGGTGCCTGGGCAGGGTACCTCCCTGGCAGGAGGCTCAGCCCTGGGTAACCTCAGACCCCTTCTCCACCTCACTTGGCTGAATCCCAGGTGCAGGGTCCACCTGGCCCTCATATCATTAGCACCCAGCACCCAGCCCACATCCAGCCAGCGAGTCTAAGAACCAGTTAGTTCTTGGACCAGGCGGAGGGTGCTGGAAGCAAAGCAGATGACAGCTCTGAAAACGCTCAGAACCCAGAAGCCACCAAGCTGGAGGGTGTGTGATGGTGCCCCGTATGCCCGGCCCCCAGAAGGAAGGTGGCACACACATGGCATCCAGCTTCTAGAGTAGGAAGACACTGGGCTAGGGACTTGGCCTAGGTGTGCCAAGCCCTGCTGCCTGGCCTGCTCCAGCTGTGGGCACAAGCAGGGTTCCGGGCAGGGCTTCTCCGCACACAGTCCTGCCACGGGCGGCTCAATGGAGGCTCCTCGGCACAGCGGCAAGGACCAGCAACCATCTTGCAGCCCTGCCTCCCTTTCTTTCCCTGAGACCCAGTGGGTTCAGGGGCTGGGCCACATGCGGGAGGTGCACAGTGGGCTAGGCTGGGCGGCCCGAACCCCTCACATTGGCTGATGAGCTGAACAGCACGGCCACGGCGTGCCGATCAGGGAAAACTGAAGACTGCTTCCCGCAGCTTCACCAAAAGATGCAGCCGAACGGATCAGACCTGGGCTGCAGTCTGGGAGTTGGGGCCCAGCCCAGGCCCAGGCCGGCGTGGATGGACCACGTGGTCCCCAAGGCCCCGGCGGGCAGGCTGTACCCACACACACCTTTGGGTGACTTTAGGAAGTTGACACTGGGCTCGATCTTGGTCCAGTCGATGTTCTCCTCGTCGGGCGTGTGCTCCACCATCAGCTGGAACAGCTTCATGGAAATGATGTCATGATTGTCTGCGGGAGCCAGAGGGAACCTGTGACGGCCGGGCCCCAGCTACTGCCATTCCCCGCAGAGGCTGTGGGGCTCCCCCAGAGGGGACACTTTCCCTCTAGGGTGCCTCCAGCCCCCAGGCCGGCAGTGTTCCAGGGGCTAGGTGCCTCCCCAGCTCCCCACTAACGAAGCAGGCAGGGGGCAGAGTGGAAAGGAAAAGAAGGCGGGCCTCCCAAGAAGAAGGCCCTGCTCTACAGCTCGTGCCTGCAAGCTTCTCTGCACCTTACCTCATCATCTGTAAAATGGGTATGAGACTGGGCAAATGGAGACTCTAGAAGGGACTGTGTCAATCAATGGACTCTTCAACGACCACATCGTGCTTGGAGTGGCGAGACTGGCAGCAACCCATGAATGGTGAACTACTGGAACCACTTGATCGAGTATCTCAGAGCATGCCCCACATCCGGGACTTAGGGTGGGTGGAAAACTGGGTGGGGCTTCTTCCTCTATATCCCCCTTTAGGCCTTGAACCTTTTTTACCCCAATTACATTTGTAAGGATTGTCAAAATTAAAAAAAAAAAAAAAGGGTATGAGACTGGCCACTTGGCCCGGTTATCAGGACAAGTGAGAGCGCAGCATGTAATGGAGACATGCTGTTAGGGGTGCAGTGTCTAGAGGGCACATGAGGCCCAGCGTGACGGCTGGAGGGCTGCTGGAGAAGCTGGACCCTCTGGAGGCAGGGGGTGAGCTGTCAGAGACCCCACACATGATGCAGACACACAACTTGGCACCCAGCTGAGGGCCAGCCCCCAGATACCATCAGCTAACTACACCAGAGGAGCAAGCCCGGGCAAGCAAACTGTCACCTCACTTCAAAGAAGAGGAGGGTGGCGCCGACGCTGTGGAGCGGGTAGAGCTGCGGCCTGCAATGCCATATGGGCACCAGTTCATGTCCCAGCAGCTCCATTTCCCATCCAGCTGCCTGCTTGTGGCCTGGGAGGGCAGGTGAGGACAGCCCCGGGCCTTGGGACCCTGTACCTGTGTGGGAGACCCGGAAGAGGCTCCTGGCTTTCGACTGGAGCCATTGTGGCCACTTGGGCATTGAGTCAACGGATCTTCCTCTCTGTGTATCTGACTTTCCAATTAAAAAAAATTTTGTTTTAAGATTTATTTATTTTTATTGCAAAGTCAAATATACAGAGAGGAGAGACAGAAAGGAAGATCTTCCAGCTGATGATTCACTCCCCATGTGATCAGAATGGCCAGTGCTGCGCCAATCTGAAGCCAGGAGCCAGGAACTTCCTCCAGGTCTCCCATGCAGGTACAGGGTCCCAAGGATTTGGGCTGTCCTTGACTGCTTTCCCAGGGCACCAGCAGGGAGCTGGATGGGAAGCAGGGCTGCTGGGATTAGAACCATTAAGAAATCCTGGTGCATTCAAGGCAAGGACTTTAGCCATCATGCCAGGCCCCCTCAAAAAAATTTTTTTAAACAATCAAAAAAGAATGGAACTGTCAGGGAAAAATAATACATAAATAAATGATGAGAAGAGTGAGGCCGTGACATGGGTCCCAGCCACTCTGTGCAGCTGAACGCTCAGTGAACCACCAGCTTCAGGGGAAAGGCCCTGGGTTCTCTGGGCATGGTGAAGGAAGAGTTACAGAGCAAGGAGTCAGCGCCGCGGGGCAGGGCAACTGATGGCTCAGGGCAAACGAGGCCCTGGGCACTGTGGCCACAGGACAGGGGCAGGGCAGCTAATGGCCCAGTGTGCACGAGGCCCCGGGCACTGTGGCTGCAGGGAGACGCCAGCTGCAGCAGGCCCCAGGTCTGTGTGTGCTCTGTTGCTTCTGGTGGGGCAGCTTGAGGAAAACTGCATGAACGCTCAAGAGGGAGTGGCCACTACCTACCCAACAGAACTCGCACCTGCCACGACAGCCTCACACTGCAGCCGCCCTCCCCCTGCTGGGCCTCTCCCGGCCGCCCCCGAGAGCGCCCTCCCGCGGCCTGCTGACCCTCTGAGGCCACACACTTCACAGCAGCAGGTGAAGCGCAGGTACCAGAGCAGCCAGAGGGAGCGGGGGCCGGGGCCGGGGCCGGGGGATGGAGACCCAGAGGAGACAGGAGTGGCCTGTGGCAGTCACACCGAGGCTGGCAGCAGGGCACAGCTGATGAGGCCACTCTCTCTGCTTTGGGTCACACAGGTGAAACGTCCCCACCAAAAATAGCTAAGCAAATCCTCAGAACGACGGGCACTCAGGGGACCCAGTGTACCCAAGTGCCCACAGGTGACAGGCGGCCTGTAATGGACAGCAGGAGATGGCTCCAGGCCTGGGGCCTTCCAAGTGTCCCTGGTAGGACTATGAGCCACAGCCCAGAGTCACCACCTAGTGCCAACCGGGCCTGGTGGCCCACGTGAGCTGGAGACACCCCACTCACCACTGTGGGCCGAATGGGACAGATCTTGACTTCAGGGAGCTGACAACTTGGGGGAGGGGGGTACCCCAGGGCCAATGATAAATGCTACAAGAAGCAAAGCTGAGAAAGGGAGTGGGGAGGGCTCCAGGAGCTGACAAGGTATCCAGGTACATGAGGCAATCAGGGAGGACCCCACGGAGGCGGTGACATTGGAGTCACTCAAAGGAGATGAAGGAGAAACAGCAAGTACGAAGGCTGGCAGAGAGGAGCCAGCATCATGGCGTAGCAGGGTATGTCGCCATCTGCAACGTGAGTACCCGTTTGAGCATGCCCAAGTGCCAATTTCTAATCCCTCCCTGCCAATGAACCTGGAAAAACAGGAAGAAGGCCTGACCCTTGGGGCCCATGTGGGAGACCTGGAAGGAGCTTCTGGCTCCTGGCTTCAGCCTGACCTAGCCCTAACTATCGTGGTAATTGAGTGAACCAGCAGATAGCTGGCAGGCTGGAGACAGGAAGATGTGTTCACAGAGCTGCTCGAGGCCGCTGGGAGCAGGGGGCAAGGAGAGCCATGGGCAGAGGTGCCGGGGGCGGGGGGGTGGTGGTGGAGTGTGATGGCTGGCAGCAGGGCCAAGGCGACTGTGCCCTTGACCCAGCCTGGGAGAGCAGCCACCCAGAGCTCCAAGCACAGCGTGACCTCATCCAAGCTCCGCGGGCTCAGCCAGGCTGTGTGGAGACAATCGGGGTTGGGGTCTACACAGTACGCAGGGCAGCAAGAGAGGGGATCTGGAAATGTATAGGGTCCAATCTAAAGCCACCACCTCTACTAAAGGGGCCAGTATCCCAACATCTACAGATGACAGCAAAAAGGAAGCCAGCTTAGTACGAAGACCAGAAGGTGGTCAAATCCTTCAGAAACTGCCCCCAGACCAGGAAGACACAGGCTGGGCAGGGACCACCCCTTCTGCCCCCAGACCAGGGACACCTCTCCGTGTCGCCACCCCCCCTCCCAGGTAGGAAGACACAGGCTGGGCAGCTACAACTCTCTCCTTCCCCAAGCCCCCGCCAACCACGGGTGAATCTGAACTTGCCAGACAGATCGCCGGTGCCAGCAGAGGCTCCAAAGTAGTAGCCGGTGGGCAGGCGCACCCCTGTGATGTCAATGCAATTCTTCCACTCATTCTTGTCTTCCAAGTCGGTCATCACCTGAAGCCATCAGCACATCAGCATGGCCACAGGTCCACTAGCCCCCTCCCCATCCCCCAGGCGGGCCCCAATGGCCGCCCTGCCTCGCGCTGGCTCACCGTCAGACGGCCCCGAGAGTAGCGCACGGCTAGGAAGGTGTCATGATCCCGGTTGCGGAAGTCGGCTGTGCAGCCCGCCAGCTCAGTCCAGCGCCCGTCCTTGCTATGGTCGTAGGACAGGGAGCCATTGTTCACCATCACCGAGATGTACGGGAACACGCGCTGGGACCAAGACACCGGTTACTCCACCAGCAGCCCTGCTAGTGGGAGGGGCAGGGCACCCACGCCAACCCCTGCCTGCAGCCCTGCTAGTGGGAGGGGCAGAGCACCCACACCAACCCCTGGAGGCTCCTTGTGTGCAGGGGACCAGGGACAAGTCCAGGGCCCACCCTCTAGCCAACTGCCAAGGCCTTCCTCTCCTACCTCAGTGGTCTCATCGTTGGGATATGTGTCCAGGAAGATGGCCAGGCCATGGAAGTTATCTTTGCTTCCAAATACGGGCCCTAGAGTTTTATAAGGAGATGATCTCATGATGGGAGACATCAGAGGTGTCCCTGGCCCCTGGAAGGCCAGAGGTGGCCTGCGGGTGGCGGGGCAGAGGGTCCACCAGCCATCCGCCCAGGAGCCGGCACCTCTCAAGGGAAGGTGGAGGCAGGCAGCGGGAGGCTGTTCCCAGGGGCGTGGGATGCCGTGCCACAAGGAACAGGCCCCCAGCCACGTACACAGGTCAGTGGTGTGTGACACACAGAGCCAGCTGCGGACAAACCCCTGCAGAGGGATTGTGGCCCCCGAGTCCCGGCCACCCACGGTGGGGAAGAGCTACAGGCAGACACAAGATTCCGAGAGCCACACGCAACCTCCAGTCTTCATTTCTGCCTTTTTTTTCCCCTCATTAAATTTTGTTTTACTGGGTCCCCAAATCCTGGGGCAGACCTGTGGTTGCTGGCACCCAGTTTTGCCTTTTTAAAAGCATCCTAGTGGTGGGCATGGCAGCACAATGCGTTAGGCCTCCCCTTGGAACATTCCATGTCGGAGCCGCCACCTCTAACAGGGGCCTAGGTCAAAGCATGGCTGCTCCACACTTCCAATCCAGCTTCCTGCTGATGCGCCCGGGAGAGAGCTGGTACTCTCTGCCTCTCCCTCTACCCCTGTCAAACAAGCAAGCAAGAACCAACCAACCAGGAGCTAAGAAAAACTTTTTAAAAATAACTCTTGCCCCCACCGCCACCCCCAGGTATAGTGCATACTGCAGGATCCAGCTGCTCTCCCTTCTAGAAGCTTCACGGACAAGGAGCAGCAGTCTCCTCACAGGAGGGCATGGGACAGCGGGAGGCAGATGCACAGAAGGGTCAGCCCACTTGTGCGCCCCATCTGCTCCCACCTCCCGGGGGCTGAGCAGTGATCCCTGAGCGAGCACGGCCCACCTGGCACCAGGCGGTCCCGGGTGTACCACAAGGCGATGCCGTCTCCGTGGAGATTCTTCTTGCCTGCGCCGTGGACTTTGAAGTGGACGTGCATCTCCCAGTCCTTGAGGAAGCATGGCTGCGGGCAAGCAGAGGGGGGCTTTGAGCAAACCGAAGGTGACCAGGCCTGCCGACCTCCCCATCGAAGCCAGAAGGCGAGATGCACTGTGTCACGGACCTCAGGCCCACCGGGGAAGAGCTAAGAAGCTGCTGGCCCTCTGCCCTCCTCCTAGGGCGTCCACTCCACATACCAGGACCCACTCACTCTCCCCAGTAGCCACGGCATGGGGCACAGTGGTGAGGACATGCCAACATCCTACACAGAGTGCTGGTTCTAGTCCTGGCTGCTCTCCTGGTGACCCAGCTCCCGGCTAACGCACTGGGAGCCTAGGATGGAGTGCTCGGCTCCTGACCTCACCCTAGCCCGCTGCCAGCTGCCGAGAGCACCTAGTGAACCAGCAAATGTAAGCTCATGCTCTGTCTCTCCGTCACTCCACCTTCCCAATAAATAAAAATTTTTGAAGACTTCTCATTGTTATTATTTGAAGGGTAGAATCACAGAAGCAAGGGAGAGACAGAGAAATCTTTCATCCACTGGCTCACCCCCCAGATGGCCGTAATGGCTTCAGCTGGACAGGTTTGAAGCCAGAAGCCAAGAGCTTCTTCCAGTTTTCAATATGGGTGCAGGGGCCTAAGCACTTGGGCCGTCTTGTGGTGCTTCTCCAGCCACCAGCAGGGATCAGAGTCAGAAATGAAAGAGCTGGGACTTAAATCAGCGCCCATACAGCATGTCAACACTACAGGCAGAAGCTTAGCCTAGCTTACCGTGCTGTAGCACTGGCCCCCATCAAATAATCAATACTCTATGTCTATCTTCCCATTAACAACAACAACAACAAACAAACAAACAGGGGCAGGCACTGTGGCACAGCAAGTTAAGCCAGTGCCTAGGATGCTGACAGCCCCCACGGGAGCTCCTGGAGTCCCTGCTCTGCGCCAGTGAGCACACCGGGGAGGCGGCGGATGGCGGCCCAGGCACCAGAGTTCCTGCCACGTGGGAGGATCTTGGCTTCAACCCAGCCAGCCCAGCCCGTTTTTGCAAGCATTTAAGGCTGAAGATCTGTCTCTCCGTTCCTCTCGAACTCTGCCTTTCAAGCAATAAAAAGAAACCTGAGCAGTGTACATTTAGCCAAAGAGGAAAGTACAGGAACATGAGCCAAAACCAACGATGGGCGGCTTCGGGAGAGCTACCTGGACTGTGTGTCTTCCGGGCTTGGATATCGTCAAACAAACCTGTCACTTCCCTCAGCATCTGAAATGCAAACTTGAGGACCAGCGTCCGACAGAGCAGTAAAGAAACCACCCAGGATAAGCCATTCCACACGCAGTGCATGCTTCCAGACCAGGCTCAAAAAATAAAAATCGGGGCCCGGCACGATAGCATAATGGTTAAGGTCCTCGCCTTCAATGCACCGGGATCCCATATGGGTGTTGGTTCTAATCCCGGCAGCTCCACTTCCCATCCAGCTCCCTGCTTGTGGCCTGGGAAAGCAGTCGAGGACGGCCCAAAGTCTTGGGACCCTGCACCCGCGTGGGAGACCTGGAGAAAGGAGTTCCTGCCTCCTGGCTTCAGATCAGCACAGCACCGGCCACTGCGCTCACTTGGGGAGTGATTCATCGGACGGAAGATCTTCCTCTCTGTACATCTGCCTTCCCAATAAAATAAATAGATGTTTTTTTAAAAAATCAATTTTGCTCATTTGAAAGAGAGTTACACAGAAAAATGGGAAGACCAAGGTCTTTCATCTGCTGGTTCACTCCCCAAGCAACCAGAATGGTTAGTAGGGCTGGGGCAAACCAAAGCCAGGTGCCAGGATTCTCTCCAAGGTCTCCCACACAGGTGCAGGGGCCCGGGGCACTCAGGCTGTCTGTCGATTCCCCAGGCCATTAGCAGGGAGCTGAATAGGACACAAAGCTGTCAAGACTTGAACCAGTGCCCAGACGGGATGCTGGCACTGTAGGTGGTGCCTTTATCCACTATGCCACCACACCGGTCCTGGATCAAGTACTTGAGTTCCTGATAGCCACGTGGAAGATCCAGATTGGACTCGAGGCTCTAAGCAATGAGCCCATGTGTGTCTCCCTCTTCTCAGACAAAAGGAAAATCAACACCCAAATAACCATAAAACACTGAGACTGAATGTAAGAACCACGGCTGCACTCTGTGCATCCACTCACCCCCAGCCTCACAGCTCTGGCTCCGGGTCCCAGGAACCCAGACCACAATGACCGGCCCAGCCCCGGAAACATGGCACCTACTCGGTCTGCATGGCAGCAGAGATGGTGGACCCTCAGAACTCCCTGGCAAATTCTGGAAGGGGTGACAGAGAGGCGACAAGGACCCTGGAAACCTCGGCAGCCGGAGCAGAAGGCCGTGCTCTGTGCCGCCATGTCCTCTTGGCACTGGGAGTCCCAGCCTCCTCCATGCCGTCCCCCGCCGCCAGCAGATGTCCGGCTGTTCAGTAGACAGCAGGTGTTTGGGGAAGAGTTTGCTAATTCGGTACCTCTCCCAGATGGAGGGAGTGAAGAAGATAAACAGAGGGGAGTTTGGTTCAGGGAGAAGGGGTGTGCTTGTGAAATACTGCACAGAAAATTGTCCGAGTGCCAAGTAATCCTCTCCAGGATTAGCGGCAGCCCTGCACGGCCGCAGGGGACACGGGCAGGAGGCAGGGAATGGAGGCAAGGCCACTGCCCTGGGCCAAGGGCACGCAGAGCTGCCAGTGCTGGGGCAGCCCGCTGAGCCAGGTCGGAGCCATGTCTTGCGTGTGACTGGTGGCTCAACCCGACTCCTAACTGCACTGGTACTGCTTAGACCCCTTTCTGTTTCATAACATAACACTACACTTGTGTGAAAAATTAGTCCTTTTTCTATTTCTGAAAGTTATCTGAAAGTCTTCAGACAGACTAGCGAGACAGAACGCGACGTGGTGGAGACAAGTGGCTTCGGAAGTACTCTCTGAGTGGGCAGCACTTGCGCTGACACTTCACAGCTTAGCGGGCAGCAGGCATGGAGAACCAGGAGGGAGTGTCCCCGACAGCGGGAACAACAGGTACAAAGGCCCTGAGGCACAACAGCAAGATCGAGATGTAACTGAGAAAACTGGGGGGTGCCAGGCAGCGGGCACTGTGCCAACACAGGGCAGTTCTTCCACGGAACAGGAGACCCCGAGCTCCAAGCAACAGCTGAAAAGCTGAAAGTCACCCTAGAGGCCGTGTGGAGGCTGGGGCAGGAGAGGGCAAGCTGAGGGGTCAGGCGCAAGAAGCAACACAAGGATAGTGTGGGCTCACAGAACTCAGCCAGGAGATGGACGAGACCAGCCAACACCACGGCGGAGGAAGGGGTCAGACAGGCCAAGGTGAGCGCAGGTTCCCTTCCGAGCTGTGACCCAGCCCAAACTGGTCCTGTCACTGCCCTCCTGAACAAGACCTCCTTGGGGTGCAATCTATGAAGCCACGGCTCACAAACAACACGTCAGGGACACCCCACATCCCCGGCCTCCAGGACCAGGGAGACCAGAAACTGTTTCCAAGTCCAGGGTCTCAGACCACCCACGACAAGACCTTCTACCAAACCCCTGGGGGAAAAGGCTGGAATCGACAACCACACCTAAGAGCTTCCTCCTCTGCCCCAAAACCCGAGACCAGCGTACCAGCATACCAACCGGGAGACCAGTCAGCACACACATGAGTCCTGCGTGAATGGACATACTGTGGCTGTACCGGGGTGCAGCAGGACTGGCATCCCAAGGGCATGCCAATTCATGTCCCAGCTGTTCTCCTTCAGTCCAGCTCCCTACCTGTAACCTGCGAAAGCAGAGGAGGACAACCCTAAGCCTTGGGACCCTGCACCCGCGTGGGAGACCTGGAAGAGGCTCTGGGCTCCTGACGTGCCCAGTTCTGAGCATGGCAGTCACTCGGACGGTGAACCGGAGGATGGAGGGTCAACGTGTCCTTCTCTAACTCCGCCTTTCAAGTAAAATAATATTTTTTAAGAGAGTGGCAGTACTGTCAGACCACTCACTGCCTGTGTTTACCTACATAAAGACCTGCATGCCATCTTTCAAACAGCTCATCTGAGAATTCAGTCGAACAAAGGCAGGCTGGGTGCCTCACACACAGCAAAGCCCACAACACAGATCCTCCTCATTCCACTCTCCCCATTCCTGAGGGGGTTTAGGACAGCTGGGCCGCAGCTCTGCTGCTTGCTGACACGGTAGGACCTGGGGGGGGGGGCACTTTCCACATTAAGCCTGGGCGCTGTTATCACCTGGCATCACTTCTGGGGAGGTCAAGCGAGAGGGGGTGTTGTGTGTCTGCTCAGCTCCTGCCTGACACCCAAGCGCTCACGCCAGGGCGGGGGTGCAAGCAGGGATGAAGGGGCCCAGGGCCCTCCCTGGCTGCTGCGCGGGAGTGTGAACAGGGGCTGCAGGGGCCCAGGGCTCTGATGCGCTGGTGGGAGTGTGAGCAGGGGCAGGGGCCAAATACTTGGTCCAGCACGCTCCAGCCTGGCTGCCGAGTGGGGGTGCGAGCAGGGGTGCAGGGGCCCTGGATGCTGGGCAGGGGTGTGAGCAGGGAGGCATGGCCCCCAGCTGCTGGAGGCGGGGGTGCAAGCAGGGACAGAGGCCAAGTGCATCCAGCATGCTCCATTCCTGCCTGCTGGGAGGGAATGCGAGAAGTGGTGCAGGAGCCCAGGGTGCTGGGGCCCTGGATGCTGGGCAGGGGTGCGAGCAGGGAGGCATGGCCCCGGCTGCTGGAGGCGGGGGTGCGAGCAGGGGTGCAGAGGACAAGAGCTTGGTCCAGCTCTGGTCCTGGCTGCTCGAGGCGGGGGTGCGAGCAGGGGCAGCGGCCAAGTGCATCCAGCACGCTCCATCCCTGGCTACTGGGAGGGGATGCGAGCAGGGGTGCTGGGGCCTTGGCTGCTGGGAGGGGGCACGAGAAGGGGCAGGGGCCGGGCGGGGTCCAGCACGCTCCGCCCCGGCCCCCGGGCCGCCAGCCCACCCTGGTAGCGCCTCACCTGGTGGTTCCAGATGGAGCCCTCCTTGCTGCGCTCGTCCGGCGTCAGACGCACGTACTGGCTCGTCAGCATCGTGCTGCCCTGGAAGTCCCAGAGGGGCATGGAGCTGGAACCGACACCTGTGGGCGGTGACCGACAGGCACAGGTGCGGGAGAGGCCACGCCAGGGCCGGCGTGGCCCGCGGCGGAGCAGCCGGGTGGACAGCCGGCCCCTCGCCGACCCCGGCCGGCCTCTCGCCCTCCGCCCTCGCTCCGTCCCGCCGCCCGGACCTCACCTTGGTAGGGCTTAATGAGCGAATGTTCCCGCTTGAGGTGCTCACTGTTGCCGTCTGTTATATCCGCAGCCACCGCGCCCAGCAACAGGAGGAACACTAGTGTGGTGGGGCCGGGGCCGGGGCCGGGAAGCCCAGGCCGCCCCGGGCACCGCCGGCCCCAGCCCCAGCGCCAAATCCTGCCTGCCGCCGCCATTCTCGTCTCCTCCCGACCACTTCCGTCCCGGGACTTCCGCCTTCCGGGTGTCCCATCGAATGGCCTTCGGCCGGAAGCCCTCCAACCCTGGAGTCACCGCCAAGTTACGATGCAAAGCCTCGCAGCCGGGGCGGGGAGGGGGAGGGCAACAGCTTCACTGGCCGCGAAGCCCCCCCATCCCGACCCGTCCGCGTCCCGGCGACCCCGAGACACCTGTCGGGCGCCCCCAGAGCCCCGCGAGGGGTTCTTATGAGTGACGAGAGCTGCAGCCAATCCCGGGACAGCACGTTCGGCTTGTGCGCCAATGAGGAGCCGGGAGGCGGTTCGAGCTGGCCGCTGGGTGGGCTGGACCTTGAAGTTTTGGGGAGCCGTTCCAGAGGGGGAGGCACAGTTGGACTCTGGCTTCGTCGCGTCCCTCCAATAACCTTTCCCAGTACTGGAAGAAGCTCTAAATCGCAGGCCGGGGTGGCCCCTGCACCCAGTGAGCCTTTAAACTGTTCTTACCCTCATCCACCCTCGTTCCAAGCCATGGGGAGACTTTCAAAGTCACTTGAGCCTCCACCTCATCCTCGAATTCCCGGGGGCTCAGTTGGACTGGGCAGGCTCGGATCCCAGCCTGATATTTGGAACCCGGGAAGGCTGGCTGTGTGTGAGGGTGGAAGAGTGGTGGCCTGCAGCCAGGCATAGCCCCTGTGACCTGCCAGTACTGTACCATGAAGGACTTTACTATCGGATTTTTAAATTTTCTGGTTTATTTGAGCAGAAGAACCCCCTACACGGGCTCAACTCTGTACGATTAAAACCTCAGACCTCTCACAGGACTGGTAGAAAGCCCACCACTTGAGCCAACACTTGTACCTTCCCTGGGTATACATTCTGTCCGCTGATTCACTCCCCAGGTGGCTGCAAGGGCCAGAGCCAGGAACCAGAAGCTTCTTCTAGGTCTCTCATGCAGGTACAGGGTCCCAAGGCCTTGACTGCTTTCCCAGGCCATAAGTAGGAGCTGAATGGGAAGTGAATCAGGCGGGACAGGAACCGGCATTTGTATGGGATCCTGGTGTTTGCAAGGTGAGGATTACCCTGTTGAGTCATCGTGCCTGGCCCAAAGCACTTCCCTCATGTAAGATAGTCTCCACCTGAGCACTAATTTGCAGCAACTGCCTGAGTTCCTGATTCCTGGGATAGCCAACAGGGTGGGGTGCTGATCAATTGATTCTGCATTTTTCAAGAGACTTATTTATTTGTATTGTAAAGTCAGATTTTTTAGAGAGAAGGAGAAACAGAAAAAGATCTTCTGTCCACTCATTCACTCCCCAAGTGGCCACAACAGCCAGAGCTGAATTGATTCAAAGCCAGGAGCCAGGAGCTTCTTCCAGGTCTCCAACATGGGTTCAGGGTCTCAAGGCTTTGGGCCATCCTCCACTGCTTTCCCAGGCCACAGGCAGGGAGATGGATGGGAAGTGGAGCAGTTGGGACAAGAGTCAGTGCCCATATGGGGTGCCGGCTGATGCAAGGCAAGCACTTTAGTCATTAGGCTACCGCACTGGACCAACTGATTCTGCATTTTAAGAAGTTGTCTTCTGAATGAACTTATTCAGAATTAAATGCTGAGACATATTTCCTGGGCCATATTTTATTTTATTATTCAAATGCTATATTTTATAGGGGGTTTGCACAAGTGTGTGTCTGTTGTTTGTGCCCTTCCAAAAATTCAGCTTCATCGCTTCTCGGCCTTTTGTCTAAGATCAAGTGTAAGCATTTAGCTTCACCTTTACAAACCAGGTCAGGTACCTTCCACTGGACCTCCATGAGGTCGTTTTCTTTCTCTGTGTGTGTGTGTTTAAGATTCCTTTATTTTGAAAGAGTTACAGTGGGAGAAAGAGATCTTCCATCTGCTGGCTCACTCCTCATTTGGCTGCAAAGGCCAATGATGGGCCAGGAGCAAAGCCGGATTTCCCCCTGGGTGGCAGGGGACGAACACTTGGGCCATCTTCCACTGCTTTTCCCAGGTGCATTAGTAGGGATGTGGATCAGAAATGCAGCAACGGGCCCAGCAACGTGGCCTAGCGGCTAAAGTCCTCACCTTGAACACACCGGGGTCGCATATGGGTGCTGGTTCTGATCCCGGCATCTCCACTTCCCATCCAGTCCCAATGCTTCCGATCGGCGCAGTACCGGCCATTGACCGGCCGTTGTGTTCACTTGGGGAGTGAATTATTGGATGGAAGATCTTTCTCTCTGTCTCCTCTCTCCTCCTCTCTGTATGTCTGACCTTGTAATAAAAATAAATAAATTTTTAAAAATACAGCAACTGGAACATGAACAATGCTTGAATAAAGAGAAGAGATGGGATGGGGTGCGGAGATCTGCTGGCTGAGTTCCCAAATGCCTGTAACAGCTGGGGCTGGGCAGGCCATAGCCTGAAACTTCAACTGAGTCTTGTTTGTGTGACAGGGGCGCCAGTGCCAGGACCGTCCGTCCTCTGCCACCCCCTGGGCACATTGGTAGGGAGCTGGATTAGAAGCAGAGGTGAGGTGCACTGTACCACGAGGACAGCTCCTGAGGACCGCAAGTGTTGTCATCTTTGGCCACTACAGAAATGATAACTGAGTCATTGCTGAAAGAGCGGATGTTTGTTCTAGAACTGGAATGCTGTCATGAAGAATGAGGAGGAATTTGCTAGGGAAGGGAAAAGCAGAGGAAAGAGAAGAGGCAAACCGAAGGAGGGCGAAAGCGGGTGGAGTACACGCAGTTTGGAATGGCTGAGCAGGTGCCTTGGCTGCGGTCAAAGTCAGAAGGACCGTGTAGGATCCCACAGACGTTGTAAGCAGGTGTAATCTCTGTGGGTTTCTCTGGTGATGGTGAGACATGAGGGGGAGCAGAAGGGTGGCGAGAGAGAACAAGGGCCAGCTGGAATGTGAGTACAGGTGCAAGGAGAGCCCAGAATTACTAGTTTTTCCTCCAATGCCAAGGAGGCTTCAATTACTCAAATCACTCATCTGATCTGAAAGCTGTTCCCTGAATTTTGGTGATGATTTATCTTGGGTCTATCAGGTGAGGAGGGAGAAGTTGGGAGCAGTGTTCCCAGGGAGTGGAGCAAGGTGGACAAGGGCAGTGAAATGGGGCATCGTAGGGTTAGCTGGTGGCCGTGCAGTCAAGATGCAGTCAGAGCTAGGACAGACTCCATGGCAACAAGGAGGGAGCCTTTCTGCAGGAGAGGAACCCCAGTCAGAGCCTGTGCCTGGGCGTTGGCAGCAGGGAGGATGAGCTGCTGGCAGCCCAGGCCTGGCTCTTGGCACCTCCAGCACATGCATGGCTTGGCAGATCCCTAACAGGGTTCAGAACCGTGAGCCACTCACCACTGAAAGGGCCTTAGCTGGCCAATCTGTAAAATGGGAGTCAGGAGCAGCACAGACTAAACGGGAATAAAAGGAAGTTGTGGTGGGGAGAACCCTGTGGGCTGGGAGCACCCTGCAAACTTAGGCCCGGATCAGTGACAGTGGACAGGCTGGCTCTGCTGACCTGCAGGACCATCATCGTGTGTGCACAGCTGGCAGAAAGAGCAGTAGTAGTACCAAGGCACACGCCTGCAGTCCTGGGCACTCCATTCACTGGCAATCCATGAGAACTTGTCTCATGGCCACAACCTGACTTCAAGGGAGCCCGAGGGTTAAGTCTAGCGACGTCCTCAAGAGAAAGGAGACATGAACTTGTGTCTGCCTGGGACCGGTACGGGCCGAAGCCCTGGAAGCTGGCAGTGGGTCAGGAAAGAGATTATGGACAAGAAAGTGCTGCCTTCTTCCCACAAAAAGAGTAACTTCATGTACCTGAGCAGTGGGCTACATGAAGATTGGAAGTTAAAACAGAAGACCATGGAGTGGGGGCATGCGTGCGCAAGCCAGGGTCAGGGCGTTCTCTGGCTGAAGGGACTGTGTTCATCTGGGGCAGGGGCAGGCTGAGCTGGCTGGGCGCCTTCCTGCAGCTGCTGATACTTGTCTGGGAACCAGGAAAGCCAGGGGCTGGAGGTGAGGTTTTAGGGAAGTGATTGGTGTCACCAGGTGACATGTCTTAGGATTAGCACTATTAAGTGATGACACCGGAAGATGTGCTTTCTCGCTATTTGCTCTCTGCCACGTGAGGACACAGGCAAGAGGCAGCCAATCCAACGGGGAGGGAGGGACCGCCTCAGAACCTGGGTCAGCTGCACCCTTGATCTGGAACATCCCTGTCTGCTGAACTGTGGGAAATAACTGTGGTTGAAGCCACTTTGGTTATAGAAGCCTACCTGGCTTCCACTGGTCTTCACCAAGGCAGGGTTCCTGTGTGAGTTCATGTGAAGGCATATTCATTCAGCTCGGGGCGTATGGATGTGTCTGGTTGGTTCCCCAATCCGGGTGGGTGCCACATGCCTGTTTGCATACATGCGCCACTGGAGTGTCCAAGTCCACGTGGGCCTGTATGTAAGCATCCCCATCCCATGCACCTGCGCAAGGGACTGTGCATGTGGGCATGACTAGGGACCCCAGGGCCTCAGGAGCTTGGTGTCTGTGACATGCGTGTCTCAATGGCCAGTGTGTGCATGCAAGATAGCCCTGTCTGCACACCCAGGTTGTGTGTGCACATGGGAGGGGGGAGAAACATCATAACTGCACACACACCCCTCTATCTGGGGCATTGGTATTGAGTGCACCCTTGCCAGCATACAGAGTAAGTGTGTGCTAAAGGGAGTGCATATGTGGACACCCAGATCCCCATGCACAGGTATACGTGACCCAGGAACTCCAGGCAGGGGTCAGGTATGAGAGTACCCTGGGGGTGCAGGGGAGTGTGGGTACCCAGACCCAACCTTGGAGCCACCCAGACTGAGCCAGAGCAAGCTGGGCTCTGCACCAGGCACATGGAGGCCTGTGGCATGTTTTGGTGCCAGCGTGGGGCGCTGCCAAGGGTGCGTTGGCGGCAAGTGTGTGCGTGTGTGAACGTGTGTGTGTGTGTGTGTGTGTGTGTGCATGTGTGTGTAGGAAGAGGCGTTCGCTCTCTCAGACCTTGCTTCTTTCTGTGGTTTGGTTTCTATAGAGACACTTCCTGTGGCAGAGAAAAGAGGTAGTGAGCTGGTGTTTCAGGATGTGAGG